TATTGTTTTCTCATTTCGGATTCGAAAGTTCGTTGTTAATTTTTTTTTTCAAAGAAACTCTGTTAATGACGTCTCTCTCTTTCACTCAGTTCCTTTCATTGTCCAGGTTTCTCTCTGTCTCTGTCTCTCTCTCTCTTGTTGACTATTCAGTGTATAATGTTTTAATTTTTATGTTTTTGCGTGTTCAACTTTTCATTCATAGGCTTTTGCATATGCATAATAATGTTGTGTGTTCGTAGTTGCAATTTTATCCCTTTTCCGTCGCATAGCTCGCTCCAGTTTTTCCATCTCAAATCCTTGAAAGGCAGTTCCTTTTCGTATTTTTTTAGTTCGGATTAAATTATTTGAGATCGACTAAATTCTGCGCTGTTCCTTCCCTTTTATCCTGTTTACATTGTGTTTAACAAGGAATTATTAACTGGGTTTGATTGTAAGAGGAAAAAGTGAATTGGGTTTGCTTCGTTAGATGTTCTTTCTTTGTGTTACTTGTGTTCTAGTGATGTAAGAACTTGGTTCCGGAGATTAATTGGCATTTGCAAGCTATAGATGGGCCTTATCGTGTATATTGCTTTGTCCATAATGGTTATGAAGTTAAATTAACTATTATTAAATTGGCTGATTTCGTGGTTTTCAAAATACACAGATGGAATTCCAATTGGCATTGTTACCAGTCTCTGCACGTTACTCAATTTCAGGATTTCAGATTGCATAGTAAATGGGGTATTGCAGCTACCTCTAAGAAGAAATTAAATGGTACATCTCCTCAAGAAGCAATCAGTAAGAATGATGTAGTTGTTGAAAAGAAAACATCTAGGACTCCTAAAAGAGCTGGTGCACGAACTAGAAAGAAAGCTATTGCTGATACTCCAGAGGAGATTTCTGAGTTGGAGGTGAATAGTGATTTTTCAGATGATGAGAACACAACATCTGCATCAGACGAGACTACCCAGATAATCCCACGAAGGAGCAGAAGGAAAGGTCCGACCAATATCCTTTTTCATGGGAGTTCTTCTCTCTCATTGAATATACTTGATTATATATTCTTGAAAATTAGTTTCCTTAATAAATGACTCTCAGTTAATCATTTCAGAACTATCAGCTTCTTCTACCACAGAGGAAGAGAAACCTAAGAAGAAAGTGAGGAGGCGAAGGGCTAAGAAGGATGATAATATGGAGGAGCAAGCGAGTGAATCTGAGATTAGTGATATTGCGGACTCCTCACTTGTGGAAGTGGATGATGAGAGTGAGGATGACATAGATTTGAAGAAATATGGAGGAGAAGATATTAGTTTCACCTATGGATGGCCTCCTCTTGTTTGTTGCTT